GGGCATAAAACCGCATTGGGGGGCCAGCAGGTGGCGTGGTTAAGATACCAGACACTCCCACATGGCTGACCAGAGTTCAAGTCCTGAACCTGGTGACTTGCTTTCTTACTTTCTCTCTGGTCAAAAAAAAGATAAAAAAAAAACACAAAACACACTGGGCCTGTGTGTGCATGTGCACGCCCCAAATCCCGACTGATGGAGAAATGGAGGAGGGATCGCAGTGTGACGAGCCCCACTGGGGGACGCTTTCTCTCTCTCCCTCCTCTAGCACGCACACGTGCCCTCTGGCAGTGGCACAGATGGCCAACTTTCCAGACAGGCTGTACAGTAAGCGACGCTGGAGTTCGATCCCTGCCAGACTCTAACGGCCATCTTAGCCAGAACTAACCTGCCTCACAAACACCCAAACCAATAAGCAGCACCCCAGCCTCCAACCTGCCCAGCGGAGCGCAGGTCTAAAGCAAGCTCTCGAACACCAGGTACAGCGGCCCGGCCGGCCCCGGCCGAAATGCAGCCGGGGCGCTCACCCTCCCACGGGTCCTGCGTTCTTCCTCCCCTGTCAGTTGCTTGCTAAGACTACCGACAGGGTCTTGCCATGCCACACCTCTTCCTCACAACCTTCAGCCAGTCAGAGTCACGTGTGTCCAGGTTGATCCAGGATCGAACCCTGGGCCCTATCACATGGCTCCAACGTCACGCGGCAGCACCTGCCACTTGCACCATGTGGCTGGGCCAAGAACGACACTTCCTTAGGCTAGGAGCCCCCTCCGGATACTGGGGAGTCTGTGGCGATAGTTAATAAAACAAAACAGAGCCAGCTAGAGACAACGACCACGTGTGTGGAAGCTGGGCTCTGAGGCTGCGTGAGCCGAGTGAGACGGACCGTTATCTTAGAGGTAACGCGACTGCCAGCCTGTGCCCGCCGGGAGACGGCTTACGCTTCAGGAAAGCAGCGCTCACGACGGCGCCGGAGAAGACACGCGTGCAGGTGGGCGGGGGAAAGGAGAGGACGGCGCCGGAGAAGACACGTGTGCAGTGTGGACAGAGGGGAAGGAGAGGATGGCAACGGAGAAGACACGCGTGCAGGGCGGATGGGAGATAAGGAGAGGATGGCGCCGGAGAAGACACGCGTGCAGTGAGGACATGGGGGAGAGGATAGCAACGGAGAAGACACGCGTGCAGTGTGGACAGAGGGGCGAGGACGGCACCGGAGAAGACACGTGGGCAGTGAGGACGGGGGGGGCGGACGGGAACGGGGGAGA